TTCCCCAGCCAGCATGGCTGGCTGGGGAATTCTGGAAGTTGAAGTCCACACATCTTAGAGTGGCCAAGGCTGAAAAACAAATAAAATACTTACTTTTCCCTGAAATACTGCACTATTATACAGAGCAATAATCAATATTCAGTTAAATATGTTTTGTGTGAGTCGCCCAGAGTCCCCCATTGGGGGGGAGATGGGCGGGGGAGAAATTAAATAAATAAATACATAAAATAAATAAATAATTTTTGGCTTTCCATGTTTATTTCTATGCATTAAGGAGCCCATTTATGTATGCTCCTGTGAGAGAGAGTAAATAAATTATTATGGTGCAAGGAACAACAGAACAGAACAATCTATCCCCAAGTCCCCAGAATCATATGCAACAGAAATATTTTCTGGAGATTTAAAAAGATGATGTGTAAAACTAAATAGAGAAATGCATACCTCTGGGGCCACAAAATTAGCAGTGTAACAAGGTGTTAAGAGAAGCCCATTCTCTCCACGGAGTTGCTTTGCAAAGCCAAAATCACAAATCCGGATAGAATCAGCATTATTAGAATCGTCCATATATAAAATATTACTTGGTTTAAGATCCCGATGCACAACCTTAAAAACACATACAAAATCCAACTGTTCAGGCTGAAGCCAGGAAAAATAAAAGCCACTCTTCCAAAACATGAAAAAAGATTCAGTAATTCTATCAGCCTCAGGAGCAACACAAACATAGGAGAACAGAATAGAATTGTTCAAAGCCAATTTCTACAAAATTGCGACCTCAAGATTAGGAGCAGACCACAGAATCAATTTATTCAGCTGTAGTTTAAAGGCTATCATTAAATCTGATTTTCTTTTTTGCTTGCGAACACCAGATTCTAAATCAGGTTTGTTTATTTGTTTATTGATTGATTCATTCATTCATTGGTTCAATTTGTAGGCCACCCAACTCAACAAGTGACTCTGAGTGGCAAACCATCTTAAAAGGTTGTCAACCAACACCATCTCTCTCTTCCTCTAACTTTGTCTCTAGCAATTGCCAGCTAAATTCTAAAAGCCAATATCCCACCTAGCTTTGTTTGCTATGCCAAGCAGCACGTTTAGCTCTTCTCCCCAAACCGTCCTGTTTCTTAAAATGATGTTCATATAAGAAAATACAAGGATTTCAGTTTATTTTTGGTTTTTTGGTTTGTTGTGTGTGTGTCTGTGTGTGTGTGTGTTTTTGAGTCAGTGTTGACTCCTGGCGATTGGCTGGACAAGTCCTTGCAGTTTTCTTGGCAAGATTCCAGAAGTGGCTTGCCCTTGTCTTCTTCTTCCCAGAGCTGAGAAAGAGCGACTGGCCCAAGGTCACTCAGCTGGCTTCGTGCCTACGGTGGGACTAGAGCTCAAGGTCTCCTGGTTTCTAGCCTGGTGCCTTCACCAGTACCCCAAACTGGCTCTCGAGGATTTCAGTACATGGATATTTATTTATGTATTTAAAAGATGTGTATGGCCGTCCATCTTAAAGCACAACTCCAGGCAGCTCGCAGCGACAATAAAACCACAGAACCATAAAATCATAAACCAAAAACCAATTAAATTATCAAAATGTGCACAGCTTACTCCTTGACAATGCAGGTAGTCCACAGTTTTAGTGATAGTATATAACACGGCGCTCGCCTCTCGTTCCGAGAAATACTTCTGTCTGAGAATACGATCCAGAAGCTCACCTCCCTTCATCAATTCTGTGACAAGGTAGATATATTTACCATCATCGTACACCTGTAGAAGTTTAATACAGTTGAGTAACACACACTCCAAAAAGGTGCATGAAACACAGGGCCTGCCTAGAAATACACTGAGCAGAAGGAACTGCTTTTGCACAAACAACTTTTCCTTTCAAGGTTGCAAAGATTCCAACCTACTGAACAGTCTTTTGCTGCTCCACTATTACAAGAGGTCTTCAGGGATTGGGAAAAAAGAAGATCAGGTGCTGTGGGGTCTTTCTCTTGCTACAAAGTTAATACAGATAAAATTACATTTCCGCTCAGGTGGGAACAGTAAGTCCACAGATCAGTGTACACATATAATCTGCCATGACAAAGCATGTCATTATTAATTAATTTTATTAATTAATAAATAATAATAATAATAATTAATTAAAAAGATTAATCAAGCCAAATCATATTTTACTGACCAATATTGAGAGGGTCTCTCCTGCATTCCAGTAGAGACAGAACCAGAGGAACGAACTTTATTCTATCAATATTTACAATCTGTACGCTTTTTAGAAACCAAGCAGAATACTTACATCTTTTAAAGTAATAATGTTAGGGTGCTGTCCATAGCGCATCAAGATTTCAATTTCTTCCGAAGGATCTCTCTTACTTTTGTCAATTATCTGGAGGGGGAAAATGACCACAAGGAAGGATGACAGGATACTCAGTTCAGCACATTACTGCCATTTCAGAAAGAATGGAGTAGACTCACTTTTCAAGGCCACCTTGAAACAAGGGCTTACAACAGCCTTCCTCCCTACCATTCCCAGAATTGCCAAGCCAGCATTACAGTTGAGAGCCAACACATCTGGACAGTCCTAGTTAGAGGCAATATCTTTGGAATGTTTCAAAGTATGGGAATTCCTCACATATGAAGTGGGTCCTGAATCTGTCTGGCCACAGACTCTAGTTCAAGGCAGGGAGACAGATGAGACATGCTAAAAGTAATACTTCTGAGATACTTAAAAGATGGATTACAAACAAGGTGGCAAACCTGAAAAGCCTATCTATGGAAGGGCTGTGCCACCTCAAACCAAATCTTGAACTGTCTAAATGACAAGAAGAGCATGCTAAGGGAACCCATCAGTTAGTAGATACAACTCAAGTACCCACGTTCTACTCCAAGCCAGTTAGATGGAAATGGAGAGGAACAGTATCTGCCTAATGTTAAACCTCCAGATAGCACATCCACAAATCACTGAATACAGTAATATTTCAAGTCCCCCAAGGAGGAACCACATACTGCAAAATTTGCAGCTTAGGAGCAGACTTCCAGAAAACTAAAACGAGTCCAATGTTTTATATATGCTCATTCTAAATAAGATGAAAAGAACTTACATCTTAATTTAACCTAACATTGTTAAGAAGAGATCTAAAACTTTGATTGAATGTGGGCCTAACCATGGAGGTTGCTATAAATGTTTAGATATTTAAAATCCCCTGCATACCTTCACAGCAAATTCCATATTGGAAACTGTATGGATACAACGCTTGCACACTGAGTAGGAGCCCACGCCAATGTCTTCTTTGAGTTCGTAGGCGTCGGTGAAGAGTGCACTGCTCCCATGAAGTTGCTAAAGAACGTGTAAAGCAACTTTTAAAACCTTGCCATTTCTGCATAAAAATTTTTGGAACATTTCTGCAGGCATCCTACTTCTTATCTGCTCTAGGCAACTTGTAAAAAAATATAATAGTAAGGGGAAAACAGACCTAAAAAGAGCAACTTTTGGACCATCGTGTAAATTTTAAGGTTTAGGCTTAGTGGATGAGATGCTGATGAAGCACAACTGGTTCACATACAACATTATATCAGACTTTGGTTGATTTTGGATTTAGTATGGTACCCATTTCCTGCAGTCTGTAAGCCATGGTTTCTTTCTTAGGATGGGTCTGCACATCCTCCTAAACCCAAGACAAACCACCTTAGCCACAGACATTTGCAGCCAACTATAATGATGGAAAAAATGAACACTCAGGGTGACATCACAAGCCAAACCCTACAATTAGGTACTTGTGTCTCAATGTCAGACACAAACATGGATGTTAGGAGTGGGGTTGCACTGTGATATCATGAGGCTGGTTTTGTCATTTCCACATGCAACCCTCCCCAAGACTCTATGACATCAGCAGTTAATATTAGGTGTGAACCAGGCCTTTTTTATTTTAAATTAGCTATGACTAGTCCCAAAGAATCCACTTTCCAACTGTACTGAATCTGGAGTGACTGAAAGGAGCAATAACTATAATTAACCATATTTTTTCTATCTATATGTAGTAACAAATCATGACAAGAAAATTATATTCTAACATTTTCTATAGGATAAGGGGAAAGCTTATGACATTCACTGAAAATAATTCCTGCGTGGATGCATAACACAATTTAACAGTTTACTCTCAAGTACAAATACAGATATTATGTGACCTAAGTGCTCCAAAGAAGCCTTCATTTTCAGCGCTTTTCAGAAGAAGGAACAAACACTCTTCATCTTCCCAATCCAGAAACCACCATTCTCAACTAGGAAAGTATGTGAACTCTTACCATCCCTACATATTTTTTCTGAGCCCAGCCGAACATCCACATTTACAAACCAGAAACTCAAGCTCTTACACAAGCAACACTACTTAACGAACATTTCGCACAGGTTTTAATATTACATAAATTGGTGAGAAATTGTTGTTTCAATCCTTCTGCATGCACACAGAACTCAGAGTAGAAACTCCCCCCCCTTTTTTTTTTACCTGTACTATCGGCAAAATGTTGTTGAGGGGGGTGATTTTGTGATCTTCTATAATGCTAGTTGCCACAAAACTGAATCCTTTGAAGAGCTGGTGTGCGTTAGCACTTGGTGGAACTCCTGGAGAATCTGAATTAATTGCATAGTATGATCTGTTAGATTGCTCCAAATATACCACAATGCAAAGTATTTTATATTATAATGCAGATTTATCAAAGTATCCTATTTCTGAAAAATGGCAAATCTAAATACCGAATTCATTTACATGCTGTAACCAAGAAATAAACAGAGTGAAAGGTAGAAGGCAGGCACACTTGATTTTTTTTTAACCAGGTAATTAGCACAGAAAACTAATTTCAAATCAGCAGCATTAAATAAAAGCAATTTTAAAAAATCTAAAAATTCATAGCATCTTTAGAATATTTCTGGTGGAGATCAATAGGAATGCCCTATATTTATTCATATAGGTTACTCTTATTAACAATTTATACCTACTCCAATTATTATGGAGTTATGAATTATTATATCTTTTAAATGGAAACTTCTGTTGTAAAAGAGGAATGGGGGTAGGGAAGATACAATACATTAATACATTATAATCTCTGCAATGGATATTACCTTTGGGAGTTTTTGCTGTGAATTCTGGATCAAAACAAAAAGTGTCTTCTGGTCGTCCAGAAGCAGGTTTAAATGGAGGCTGGATCTCCCTCCTGTAAAGTTTCTGGAATCAGAATCACAAAAGATTATTTCACAGATTACCATGGATTTAGATTGCTTTCCTAATGGGAGGTTCTTGCTTCTGCAGATTCAATTTTAGAAACATTTCCTTTCTGCCCCTGTGCCTCTTCCCACACTTGCAATTGTCCCCAGAGCCATCTGGAGCAACGGAAAGAGGAATCAGCAAAAGTCAATGTCTCCTCTCCTTCTGTTACAGAAGCCTCTGCTTCTTCAAAGAGACTTATGTGAGCAAAGGAAAACTACTTGATTCCAAGCACTAGGCAGTCACCTTAAAATCAAAAGGTAACAGGCTGTTCTTCAACCTGCATTCTCCTGTTTTTGTAAATGGTTTACAAAAAGCTTCTAAGTGCTATGAAAAGAAATGAAAAGTCCCTATTAGGTACATATGAGTTACAGAAGAGAAGGGGAAGGGAGGAGGAGGAGGAGGGGGAAGGGGAGGAAGAGGAGGAGGAGGAGGAGAAGCTTTCTTCCAGTTTATTGTAGCATTATTGCCCCTTTCGTCCTCTCTTTCTTTGATACAAATAATGTACGTTGGCTATTATTGCTTTACCTGTTCAAGGTATTTCCCAACATTAAAAAAATGCAAGAGTTGCCAAGCTTTATGTTAAACTTGAGTCCTTACTAGAATGGTATCCTGAGTACAGATTTATTCCATAGACTCACATTCCAGTCAATGGTTGCGAAGAAGGGGTGCCTCTTTATTTCTTCTACCCCATCAGGACCAGCCCCTACAATTTCAAGGAACATCAGGCACAAAATTATGGCAAATCAAACAGCAAAGGCAGCTATTGCTCCACCTATTGACAGATGCAACAGGAGGGGTCCTAAAAGCAGGCATTCTTGATGGGGGCTCCCTTCCTCTGGAAGAGTCTGCACCTCCCTGGGATAGGTAGCTCCTCCTCTCTTGGTCTTCTGGAAGCTTGTACAAATGTGGGTCTTCCTGAAGGCCTTTGGACCTTGAGTGGGGCAGAGCTCCCAGTGCCAGGAATCCTCACAATACATTTTACTTTAATTATATATTGTACTTGTGGGGTTGCAACTTGCTGTTAGGATGGCAATGGCTGCGGTTTTTGGACCTTGCTTTGAGGAGCCTTGACCAAAGTGCTTTGTACATTCATAAATAAATAAAATAAACCTTCCGACACTTAAAAGCAGCACTGAGTTGGAGCCCCCAATCATCGGCTTCCCATTGTCTGCCCTGCTCTTGCTGCACTGCAAGTCAGTTTCAAAGGGAGATTGTGGTCCCACAGAGTCATGCTACTGCAAATGAAACATAAATCGCAGGACACAACCTGGTGCTTAAGCACTGAAAGTGGCTATTGTTTTCAAAGACAGAGCATGTTTGGTTTTTGGTTTTTTAAAACCAAAATATACCGAGGCTAGTTTAAAGGTACTTTTAAACAAAAACCAAGAGTCAAGAATGCTGAGATATTCAGCCATAGTAAAAGGCACCTTGGGTGCAATCCCAAAACATCTGGAGCACCACCTGAAGACCATCGGCATTGACAAAATCATCATCAGTCAATTGCAAAAGGCAGCTTTACTTGGTACAGCTTATATCCTGCGATGATACCTTGAACACCATCAAGCAACAACATCTGCCTATTCCAGCTTCTCGGGAAGGACTTGATAGGTGGATAAAAATGCCAAATCCAGTCTAAACATCTGGCTGGCTGTGTGACCAACCATAATAATATCAGTATTTGTTATCTTAGCTTTGACTCTGTAGTGTTCTAGATTTTCATACTATAGTTTCACAGCTACCCATGTACTTTTTTGTGAAAGATATGGCTTCCAATTCTATCATCTCTTTCTTTCAGACATGGTATCTTCCTAAATCAGCTTGAAAGACAAGAACCGCAATCCACAATAGATTATATTGGGTAGGTTATGAAATGATACAACACAGTCCTCCAGCCTGGGTCTTTTGTCATGTTGCAGACTAAGGCATTTCTCTTCTCTAACCTTTGACCATGGTATCTGGGGTGGAGGTCTAGAACATCTGGAAATCCCCACCTCAAGGAAGACCAATGTAGGCAGTACTAACCTAGCCTGTTTGAAGGATTCCTTTTAAATAGCATCCTCAGAAGACTCTGAGCTTCAGGGCTAAGGAATTGTGGCATTCCAAGTTTTGCTCTGTGAAAAGAGAAAATCCAGATTCAAGATGTGCTTCCTAATTAAGAAATCAAATGCAAACAATGTGCTCAAATGCGAATTTAATTGGACCTGAGCTTGGTAACAGTTTCCAGAGGACAAGAGATTGTCCAGAGTGACAAGAAATTACTGTTCTAGCCTAAGTATTCTAAAAAGGTGCATTTAACCAGGTTATAACAAAGCAGCATTCTCAGCACCAACTTGAAGCCTGCAAGACATACCACATTATCTTTCCTAGTTTACGCTAATCTGACTAAAACATTCTATGGTGCTTTCATCTTAGAAACCAGCTCAAACTGTCTGCTTGTTTGATGGGATTATATGCAGGCTGTTGTGCTGGGAAATCTGTGGATCTTCATGCGTCACCAGATGATAACTCAGCCAGGGTCATTGGGCATGATTCCTGGAGTCACCTCACCTCCCATAATCAACCAGAGTCAAAATCTGGAAAACCAGAGATTCCACTGCCTGTGTCAGGTTTAGCCCAAAGAACTCCAAGAGACAGTGCAAAATCAGTTCAGCTATGTTTATTAGCTACAATCTCGAGCAAGAATCTTCCCAGACTGAAACCCCAGCTCCTAAGTTAGCTAGCCACAACACTGTGAATTCCTCAGGGAGGTGCCAGCCTCATCCTCTTGTAGTTCGCACGCTCTTGCGGCAAGCTAAGAAAATGCTTATCTCCCTGAGCCTGGCCTTCATAATTCCATTCCATCACAGCCTGTCACTTTAACATCCCCCATAAGGTTAGGTGTCCCTTCTCAGAACTAAGGCCTCAAAATTCTCACTGCAGCTGGAAAGTTAAGGTTACGCACACACTGTCTTGAAAACAATCCTCCACACGCCCTTATTAGGACAGTCCAGAAAACATGAAACTGATATGAGAAATTTTAAATGTGCCCAGAACTAAAATGGCCACTGCCTTGGATATCCTAGAAACCAGTTTTCACAATTTTTTTTTTTTTTGGTGCCTTCAAGTCATTGTTGACTCCTGGTGACTGCCTGACTAGTCCCTATAGTTTTCTTGGCAAGTTTTTTCAGAAGTGGTTTGCCCTTGCCTTCTTCTTCCTAGGGCTGAGAGAAAGGGATTGGCTCAAGGTCACCCAGCTGGCTTCATGCCTAAGGCAGGACTAGGACTCATGGTCTCCCAGTTTCTAGCCTAGTGCCTTAACCACCACACCAAACTGGCTCTCATTGCCTTTGAGTCAGTCTTGATTCCTGGTGACTACATGAACAAGTCCCTGCGTTTTCTTGGCAACCTTTCTGGAAGTGTTTTACCACTGCCCTCTTCCTGGAGATAAGAGAGAATGACTGGCCCAAAGTCACCCAACTGGTTTTCATGTCTAACATAGGGTTAGGTCTCCTGGTTTCTAGCCTGGTGCCTTAACCACTACACCAAACTGGCTCTGATGTTAATATGTATTTATAACATTTATATCTTGCTTATTGTCTGGAGTTCTACTGGCTATGTTGCACAACAGACACCAGTTGTTCCACAGCAAATTTCCTGCAACATGGGATAGAAAAACTTTATTACTAATCCCTTATTTGCCAATGCTATCCTAAGGATTAAACCAAATGCTTGTTAAGTTTTTTCGTCTGTTTTAAAAATGGATTTATGTATTTTTATTGTAGGGTTCTCTGGCCTAAAGGCTGTAATAAAGGTTTTAATTTGATTTGATAAATACCCAGAAACTATTTAAAGCCTGAAAACATTAACAAAAATATCCAACTTGCAAAAATTGTCACTGTATGTTTTGCCCATATATGAATTTTTCAAACAACTTAGATAATGAAGATTTTTTGGGCAGAGGGGACGCTTGACAATCATTATATGGTATCAATAATATGTAATCCATGCCATCTTTGTTAGTTTGCAAATATGTAGCAATGGAACCATCTCTGAATAGAAAATTACTTACTTGAGTATCATATTCATAGTTTCATTTCGGTCTTTACCTTGAAAAGGTAGCGTACCAGTGAGCATTTCAAACTGAGAAAGAAACAAAGACCACATTTAGAAAACAAACAAACAAGACTTAAACTTCTAGAATTGGGTTTAAGAAAACCCTACTTCTTATTATAATGTATTGTGAAGGTACACTAACTTGCACTAAAAATAACAGAATGAATAAACTCATAAAGCAGCTAGATAATAAATCTATATTAAACAATTCTGGTAACCTTAGAAGGCTTCTAAACATTTTGCACTGATACTATATAAATTTGATTAATTTTAATAGAGATATTTAAATGTTCAAACAAAAACTATATTGGCTAAAATATATATTTATAACTTTGTTTAAAGAGTTAATCACAACCATAAACACTTCATTACAACCACGTTTACCATAGCATTATGTAATATGATTTTCATCATCAAATGCTGCTTTAAGTGTTACTTTATCAGCTATTTTGCTTAGATTAATTAACATAAAATGTGTCAGTTCAGAGAACAGTTACAAATCAAACACTTTCCCTCATGTTGTAATTTCAGCAGCAGCATTATAATTTTAAATTATGACTTATTAGAATTCATTAAATTTGTACGCCACTGAATCCTTCTGATTATTGGCAGCTTACATGATAAAATAATAAAACTCTCATGGTAAGAGAGTATGTGTGTGTGCATAAAAAATAAAGAAAACAAAACAAAAAATATCCATGGCAATAAAAAACTAAACAAATAAATATTTTTATCCCACAATTCTAATAGCACCAAACCCAAACACTGTATTATTACAATCATAATACGTCAATTTGCACCATCTCAAAAGCTGATGAAATGCAATGCAGAATTGGGCCATTAATGCACAGTACCATTAGAACACCGAATGACCACCAATCAGCACTTTGGTTGTGGCCCCGCCGGTTCACGACTTCAGGGGCCATGTACTCTACAGTACCACAGAAAGAATACGCTTTCTTCTCTTGATCAACCGATTCTTTGCTTAAGCCGAAGTCTAAAAGAGTATCACAAAGACATACCAAGTAAAGAGATTCTGAGCAAGATCGGCCATAGAAGGTTAAGATCAGCATGTGAATTATTTAGAAAAAAATATATATGTTACACAGCCTAGAGGTGAGAAAACGATGGCCCTCCAGCTACCATTAAAAGTCTATTTTCCTCAGCCCCACCCAATGAGAAGAGATAATGGAAGGTATAGCCCATCCAAGAGGGTCCACAAAGGGAGATAAATCATGCATCATGGTACAAACTCCGGCCCTTTTGTACTTGCATTGTAATGTTGTATGCAGTGCATAAGGGGCCAAGCTTGCAACGTGCCATGATGCAAATGTCATCATTTTGACCAAATCTCTCCTTGCTGCAGACACCCCTTGAGCCCAGCAACACCAGGAAGGTGATTGCTTTCTATAGTCTAAATTTCAGTAGACTGAGACCCAATACAACTATCGTGACCTCTTAAACCAATTAATAAATAAAACAATTAAAATGGCCCCAAGCAAGCCCACTGAAATCCCCACAAGCTGCATAACAACCCAACATTGCTTTAATGCTAGGTTTCCTGTCCCTTCCTAGTTACATGAACTAATGATTAACATTATGCTTGGTTTGAAGAGTAAATTATGCATAAAGTAAGTTATGATTGTGCACCCTCCATAAAGATATGGACTTCCTTTAGATGGAAAAGCAGTATGTCTAACCACTGTGTCAATGAAACATTTGCAGGGGAGAATCGGTATAGGACTTAACTCTAGCCCAGTTTCTGTAAAGCTTCTTCAGCTTAGGCCTCAAAATTTAGGGCCTTCATCTCTGCATGGCTTCCACCAGTGTCCAGAAATAGAGGCGACAGATTTATACAACAGTATAAAGACCAAGCTCGCGTTTTTAACTATATAAACAGTCCAGGATCTTACTCCAAGTGGAGAATTTCCACTTAAGGCAGGCTCCCTCTGTGCATCAGATCACAAATGCAACCGTAGGGCAGCAAGATGGCCAACACAGCTTTTCTCCTAAGCATGTGTAGTTCCCAGGGGTCATTTTAAGTCACCATTCAGTGATAAAATGTGGTCTAAGTCAGGGCTCCTCAACCACAGCAACTTTAAGATGGGTGGACTTCAACTCCCAGAATTCCCCAGCCAGCATGGAGTTGAAGTCCACCC